AAAGACACACAGTTGTACCCAGGCTGAACCTTCGTGTGCATTCTGTGAGAGGAGACTGGAGTTCTCATGAAGCTGAGAATGAACATGCAACATAATTTGCAGATGCTTAAATCACAGTCGATCCTTTTCCTGAAAAGAGACTGATCTGTGTTTTAGCAGCTCATGATAGGAAGGCAGATATCATTTAAAACAAAATTGAACTGAGCTGCCCTTTAATCCCACAGACAGCTTCTATTAAATCTCTTCTAACAGAGGTAGAACTGATGTTCAAACTAAAATATCAAGCCTTGCTGAATTTTTTGCTTCTGTATTATACTGTATTCGGGATCACTTTAACTTGCCTTCAGATCAGAATTGCAAACTGTGCAATTTGGTTTGAAAAGTGAAATCGGAGGCAAGAAGCAGCAGGAAGTAACTTACCTCACTTCCTCTGCTAGCCCATTTCAGCATTTACATGGCTTCACAGGGACACAGCATTTTAAAAACAAGGCATTTTAAAAAGACAGAGATGGTCCCTCAAGTAGGTAAGCTTGCCATTCTATCTAAATGAAATCCAAACAGGAACTGCTGGTAGAGCTGCTTTTTTGCAGATGTTTTATTTATTCTCTTACTTGGGATGAGCAGAAAACAAACAGAACTACTAACTCTTATCTGTGATAAATGTTTCTAGTTCTCCATGTTTGTTCTTTTTTGGAGGGAGAGAGGAAGGAAGAGGTTTCACAGCTGAAATGTAACCCAGCCTGAGACTTAGTATGCCTGCAACACTTGAATTATTAGCATATTTTATAAAAGGTGTAGATTTGCACAAGAGTAGAAACTAAGTGCAACTTTTTCTAAAGGGCAAGTAACTTTATGAAGCTTCATTCAAAATTTTTTTTTTGATTGTTTGGCAATGAATGATGCCTTTTTGGTTACTTGTAATAAAGCTAATAATGAATAATACTGTTTTTGTTAGATTAAACCACCTATAAAAAGGTGTGTTCTGTCTGATTATAATAGATTTTAATCTGTGACGTCGATTCTGTCACATTCCTGATAACAAAGACTACCTTTCAGCATAAAAAGTGCCTATATCTGTGTTTGAGCACTCTTCTGTTGCCTTGTACAAAATGTGAATATCTCTAGGAAAGAACCTGGTAAGCACTGTTAGTTTGCAGTAGGAAAGTCATCAAAGCAACACAGTTGAAACAGAAAAGGGTAAATGGACTATAATCCTTTTAAATTTGAGGTAATGATAAAGCTAGAAGTTTGCAAATTATCAGCGAGAAGAAAACTTTATTTTGCCATTATGTTCATGGTACCCAACCACACATAGAGAAGAGAGATGGAGTAAATAACCCACCCTTAAAATTAGCATGAGCAGTAGCCTGCCTGTAGCAATGCATACTCAGATGTCCTCCTGCATGATATTTTATGCAGGTTTGAAGTGACCTGAGTGACTTCTGATCTTTTTTTTTTTTTTCTCCTGTACAAGTGATCTGTATTAGGATAATTTTAAATTAATGTGAAGTTGCTTTTCATTCTGGCATGGACATCATCCAAATAATACTTATAAATTCTAGTCTCTTAGATTTTAAGTGGACTTTGGACAATAGAGCATTGATGACCTGGTAATGGAGAGCTATTGATGATGGTTCTTGCTGACTTTGTTCATTTATTGATGTCCCTTATGATGCCAATTCTCTGTCTGGATCTTTAGGTAGACAATAGTTGGGTTTTAGCCAACTTGCTATGCTAGAAGAGTACTCACAATTATAAGAATGTCACTTGTTTTGGAGTGTATTCAACCTATCAAAACCAGACAAACCCAGACTTTTCAATATAGTGCCTGCATTTGCTTGTGTTTAAAAGTAGAAGGATTGTTTAGCATTTGTCTAGTGTAAATTAGAACATTAAAGGGAGATGTGATTTTTTTTTTTTATATATTAAATCTCAAGTGACTTGCAGTCAAATCTGAGGTTTATTTAAAAATACCAGATTTTGCTCAATGGCTTTGCATTAGTTAAATAATGCTTGTTATTAGTTAAATAATGCTAAAATACTTTTGTAAGATATTGAACAACAATTCATCAGGAGATCCTGAATCACCTAATCTGGAATAACATGCTGAATGCTTGTTAGCAGTGCCTGGTAGACTGTGTCTTTAAGGTTTGCATCTTTTAATATTGTTTCCAGTCTTGTTGATCTACCCAGTAACATTTTGTGACTGGGTCCACAGCTACAAGGCACTTTAATCTCTACTGTAATAGAAAATTTTGTATCACTTTCCTGCTTGTTTTTTGGTGGGGTTTTTTTGTTTGTTTTTCTTTTACTACTTTCTTGGTCAGTGCATATATAAAATTTCAGGCTCTACAAATGTAAAGATGTCTACATAACTTTTTTTATAAGACTGGATTATGTAACACACTTTCAGAATGCTACCATTCTTTTTCAGGGTGTCTTTAACCTTTTTTTGTTTTGCCCCCTTTTTTTTTTTTTTTACGACTTCCTTTTTAATTAATAACCCGTTATTTTATTGCTCTTACATCTTCACTCAGTATTTTAGCTTTGAAAATGATAGCACTGAAACAAGCTATATAGAATCCTTAAGATTACTGTTCTTCCAGCCCATATACTTATTTTGGTAAATTAGATATTGACTATAGTGTTTCTTTTTCAAAATAACTGTAGCAGTTTGGGGAGGTTCTGAAGCATTTCCCTACTTACTGAATGGTGGTTTCACACCCAGGATTCTCAAATTTGACTTCACTGAAGAAGGATATGATTTTAACTTTCAAGGCTTAAGCAAATTTTCATTCTAGCCTACTGATGTCTTTAAATGCCCAATATTTTAAATGGAAATGTTCTGCACAAGTGGGAAACGTACATTAAAAAGAAAACTGTTTTTGTCTTCAGCAGAGTCTGTCAAGGTTGGCTGTTTGCACATGTGTCGTGATGATTTTGCAAAAAGAACCACAATTCTTCTTTTCTAAAAGAAAGAAGCTATTCTCCTCTTAAAATTATAATGATAAGCTACAAAAGTGCAGTTGAAAGGGTACTCTAACGATAATTGCTACTCATGATGGCCATCACTAGTACTCCAGAAATGCTTCTGTGTGGATCACTGATAGTTAGCAATATCTGTAGGGATTAAAATAATACCAGTATAATGGAAGAAAACACTCTGTAAAAGTCTACTTTAAGCCACCCGTATTTCAGATTTTCCCTGAACTCTGTATGAAAAGTGCCGATATAAAAATACAGCAAACAGTTCCTCATGTCTGAAAGGCCTTAGTACAACCTTGCAATTCAGCTGTGAAAAAACACCTGCTTGTAACTGAACTATTTACCCTCCTTCCCATAGGATGGGAGAGGGGTTTCTCACACAAGCTGAGAGAAATGATTTCCTGTAAGACTGTTATGGTGCAGATTCATCTGCACTAATAGTCTTTGGGTGAAGAATAGATTTTTCTTTCCCTCTTTTTATAGTATTCTGCACACGGCAGATAACTGCTCTGAAATCTTGTTTTTGCAACGTCCTTTGTTCAGCTGTACTTCCCACTGCAGTGATCTCTATGACTGCATTAGAAAGAAAAAATGTTGTACTACCCAGGAGGAGTCATAAAACAGCTGTTTGTTAAATGCCTATAGCATATGAACCATATTTGAATGTTTTTCAGCCTGTAGGCAGGTATTGATTCAAATGTTAATTCACTGTTCTAGCTGCTCTAGTGTTAAAAATAGCTATGCTGGTGAACCTAATTCTTGGGCATGTATTCATGGCTTTGTGTGAGGTGGTTTTATAAAGAAGACTTTCTTACGGATGCAGTTAGCTTTAGGCTTTACTAACCAGAGAATAGTAGCTTCCTACTGCATTACCAATTAAATAATTCGGCAAAAGTCGCTGTTAGATTTTTTTTTTCTTTCCCCTGTTGAAACAAACTGTCATTGTGTAAATGTATCTCCAATTTCAGTTGCGGATCGCCTGGGCTGTGACCCTCGGACGCGTTTCCAAGTTCCACCGAACACCAAGCAATGGATTGCTTTGCTCCAGCGAGGAAACTGTACATTTAGAGAGAAAATACTGCGAGCAGCATCACATAATGCCACAGCTGTGGTCATTTACAACAATATATCCAGTGAAGAACCAGTCACTATGACTCATCAAGGTAAATAAAAGTCCTTCGCTTTTATTCCTTTTTCCCAATGACTCTTTTGCCGTATAGACTATAACTAAATAGCTATTAGCACTGTGGAAATAATATTATTTGAAACAGCCTGACCTTTGCAGGATGCCTGTATGTGTACATCGAAAAAGCCTGTAGTTCAGGGAGAAGGTCTTTTCTTCTAGAGTATTTCTAACCAGTGAGAAACACACTCCCCTATAGGGGGATGGCAGATGCATTGAGGATAGGGGTTAAATGTCCTTAAAGTTTTAGGCATTGTGTGTTTCAAGGTTTGAACTTGCCAAAGTCAAAAAGTTAACAGTACGTATCAAAATATCTAGAATTTTGCAAAACATCTTTACCTGAAGAATTTTTGTAGTAGTGTGTTGGATATAATAGCACGTTTTACAATTACTTATGATGAAGTCTCTCAAAGGTTAACAATTGCACCAAATTGGAGCTCCTGTGCATTTCTACGACAGCTTACAGAGGGTTTGGGTTTTGCGATGTATCTTTGTGGATCCTGTACAGTAATCAACAGAACTTGGTGATACAGAGTGTGGTTGCCTCTAAATTGTCTAGAATTACACTATTTCTGGTCTGAAATGATGCTGAAAGTTGGATTTCTACAGACCTTTATATTTTTAGGACTGTTCATGTCTAAAATGTTACCATTATTAGTGAGTGAGTTTAGCTAGTGGGAGCCTCCTACTTAAGAATTTTTCCTTTGCTACAAATAACTTTCACATTTTTAATAACTGCAAGGCATTCACTTTCCCGGGTTTTATCACTTTGAAATTACTTAGCTTAATCCCAAAAGGCCTATTTCTCTATTTGATAGATGAACTAGTGAATCTTTTTTTCTAAAATATTTTCAATCCTTTTTCTTTAAGCATGGAGGGAGTTGCTTGGAAACTGGAATTTCCTATTTATTGCTCTGCATATAATCACATAACTGGGAGTTGGATTCTTCTACTGAAAAAGCCCTGTGTCAGTTGTAGTTCTTATGTTGTGATCTGAGAAAACCTCATGCAAGGGAAATGTCTTATGGCTTGTTCTAGTTCAGTGGGTTTTGACCTTCCCAATTCTGTGTTACCACAGGAATTTTCCAGGGAGATGTGGATTTATGTGTAACAATCCTAAGTCTGTTGACAGTTTTTTTTTTTTTTTTTCCTTAGTCACCTTCCTCAGGCACCTTTGCATTTAATCTGAAGGCAAAAAGCCCCATATTCTAGTGAAATGTTCCTTGCAATACTCCCTCTTTGGTCCTTTGCTGCTTCTCTGTGCTTATATGGCACCCCATCACGCACACAAGTCTTCAGCTCCATCTCCTTGACATACTTGTTAGATTGTAAAGCCTTTTTTTTTGTAAAGTCTCTTTTAGCAATGGTTTTTGACTCCTTCTCTCCTCTTGTGAGAGAAGGACTACCAGTTAAAACACAGGTCTATTATTGCTTCTTCTAATATGTGCTAAAATATATTATGGATTTGATTGCAAAATAAAAATCCTTTTTCTCTTAATGCAGTTACATTTAGCAGTTGATCTGATAACAATGGGTGTCTGTCTAGTAAGAAGTGCATTGTGTTCACTTGGTGTTAGAGCTCTTAAGACCTGTGTGGTGCCTCTGCAACTGTGTCAATAGACCTGATGGTTCAGGTAGCTTGAAATAAGCTCTCAAATTCTAAGACCTGGGTTGTGCTGTGGAGAAATGGTGTCTTGCAAATTGTAAAGGATGACAGAGCACTTGATGCTTGGAAAAAATAAAATAAAGCCATCTTCATGTTGATTGCAAAATATTCATTCTTTAAAAAGATTATGTAATTACTGGAGATAATGCATGTTTTATCTGCAAGTCTTTTGAGAAACTATTTTAACTATATGCAGCCAGTCCCCTAGTATACTAGAACCTGTCACTGATGTGTATGTGTAAAACAGAGGTATTTGACATGTTTTTGTAAATGTCCTCTATCATCAAAGTGAAGGGCGTCCTTCCCAGCATTTAGGATATGCTAGACTATGATATCACTGGCAGGAAGGCAGTTTTATGGGTGGTTTTGCTTGCCACTTCTGTTAAAGCAGAGCAAATACTGTCTAATGTAGAAAGCCTGTGTGGTGGAGAAAATATTTAGTAGCTGTCTCCTTTGTAATCAATTAGGGGAATAGGAAGGAAATGCAAGGAAGATAACACTTTAATTCTTTTTATGTGGTTAAAACAGTCCTATTAAATACGTATTACTTCAACTAACTATTGAACTGATCTAGTTAAAAATCTAGATTTTTTTTTTGATTATTTATCCTTGCTGAAGACATTTAAGTATTTACGCATTATACCTTGTTCAGAGGGCTTTGCCCAACAGATCTCTTGGTCTTTAGGTCTTGCTGCACCTTCATCGCACCTTTGAAAAAGCAGTGTATTCTTCTCCTTTTTGGAAGTTCCTCTATTCAGTGATGTGCACAGGAGGAGACTTTCTGCCATCCTACTGCTGGGAGAGACATTTTTCTTAGGATCTATGTCCTTCTACCCAATACGGGCCCTGAGGGGGGGGAACTATTCAAGGCAGAAATTTCTGTTCCTCATATATTCACTTACAGGAGAAGCAACACTTGTGTGTGTGTTGAACAGGCAGGATAAAATTGTGAGTTTATTTCTGTGTAGATTATTTTAGGTCACTAGGTCAGAGGCAGGAGGCACAGGAGGTAACTTGGAGTTGTTGCCATCTAATGGCTATTCCGTGCTCCAAGCCCGTGTAGGTGGAATTAGACTGAGTAGCCCTGGGCTTTGAGCTGCTGCTGTGCTGAGCTGTGGTGCTCCTAGGATATTCTGCTACTTCCCTCTTTTTCTCAGCTGTGGCTTTATGTGACTGTAAGCTAAAATGATGCATAAAAACTAAAACAGCTCTATAGATTATTCTGCCCAACTGTGGTTTGGAGTATAGCTGAAATATTCATCAAATCCATCACAAAACTGTCCCTGCATTACTGAGACCTACTTTGAATTCACAACTCAAGGAATACTCGTGTGCTTGTTCAGCTCCTAAGAACACCAAAGTGCAGTTATTTGGATGGTATAGTCTTAAAAGTATTATCTAATGTCAGTTTTCTTCAAATTCTTCTGTTTTGAAGCAGTTATTAAGTATTAATGTAGCCAGAAAGATTGGCAAAGGTGATGCCCTCTAGCCTGGCATGGTGGTGAAAAGAAGAAATGAGTCATTGCAGATTAAGTTTTTAGAAAAGGAAGAAAGAAATCTTTGGTAGCATAAACATAGTTAACACACCTTTGATTATATTACAGTGGTAATTATTATATTGTTTATAATTCCTAATTTAAAATGCTACGAGCAAGTATAAATTTAATTCCATTTCCCACTGCGTTTCTTGGAGATAAATTTATCGGGAAAATCCACCTTACAGTAGATGGAGTTGTCTGACAGTTAACGAGCCTCCGAGCGGAGTGTTTGGAGCGCAGACTCCAGGACGCAGGGAAGCAACTGCCTGCTCCGGACACGCCAGGGAAAGCCCTTGCCAAGGCTGACGGTGTCTTACTGAGCCTGTTCGTGACGGGAATTTGCATGGTGTGTGCTTCATCCACGGCTGCAATGTCAGCCCTTAGGTTCATTTTTCTGTAGCCAACTGAGAGGGTAATTAGTTCTGTGACCGTGAAAAAGCCCATGGGATTGTTAGTGACTATAGGTAATTACACTCCTTTTTTCTTAGCCAGAGATCCGAGCTTCAGCAGCAGAGTAATTTCCAAATCTATGGATTTTTTTGTGGAATCAAATCTGATTCAAATTTATGGATTTGTTATTTCTGAACACCACAATTGTGGTGTCTTTCAATAAGATTTTCATACTATTTCTTTTTTGGAGTTACCTGAATATGTTTGGAATGACAATCTGGACTGATGGTTCTGAGTTGAAGTTGCCTGTAGCTAAAACAAAATACTCAACCATATTAGACCACCCTTATTACAAATCTCTATTTTGGGGGCTTCAAGATCCGTTAGCCAGAATAGAAGCTACTATTCAGGAACAGCAAAATGAAAGCCACCTACTCATGCTTACTCATGCTACAATATACAAGACTATTTAGAGTTTGTTATCAAAATCTAAGCAAATATTATTTTCTTTAAGTACAAATCAGATCTACATGAGGCTAGTATTTGTGATTAATGAAAAATGCAGACACTGTAATCAGCCTTCGGACATTAAAACCAGATCTAAGGTGTCAGTTTCACGACATTGTTCCTGAAGAAGTATCTGCAAAGATAAATAGTTTTCAAATAAACTGTAATTAGCCCCTGACGGTAAGACTCCTATGTTTTATAAATATGTGAAACTAGTTAATGAGGAAACACTGACAGCTGACGGATTTTAGTTTGCATTTACCTAGTGACAGCGTAATACAGTTTCTTAGGTGAAAGCTTAATGTGAATTTTTTTTTTTTTTTAGTAGCTTGCATTTGGTCCAGGTTTGAATATAAAATTTACACTTCTTTTTTTTAGTGTACTGTTATTTGAAAAGGAAAAGTCAAATAGGGTTGTAAATGCAATTTGTCCACTTCCTAGTTAAATGTCAGTAAAATGCTGAACGAAAGCAAAAATGTATGTACAAATAATGGAATGATAGTGGTAGTTTAAAATGATGAATTCCTTTGTATCATGACTACTTGATTCTTCTAGGATTATTTAAGGGGAATATCTGTTTCCTTTTCAAAGTTCATGGTACAGGTAAATTAAAAGAAGCATTGTTATAAAAGAAGAATACAGTGTGAAGTGTCTGCAGAAACATTACATTACTT